CTTTGCCTCTGCGGCGGTGAGGTTTTGGAAGAATATTTTGTTATGTTTGGATGCTCGCAGATATGTTACGTAAGATTTAGCGGAGCACCCGATTTCGTAAAGTTATTCCAGTGCCGGTTCGTTCCCCGAGTGCACCGGACCAGCTGACGCTACGCCCTTTCTTGAGAGATGTCCTCTCTGTAGATGACACGCTCCTGATGATGTCGGCTCCGAAGCTTCCAGCGCCGCGCTAGGATTGCGGCTGCTGAATCGAGGGCTATGTCTTCTGACCCAATCAACCAGTCCTCCGACATCTGGCCCAAACCAGCCTATGTCCCCTGATCCAACCAACCAGTTGCCCGGTACCAGACGGAACCCAGCTTAGGTCCCCTGCCGCAGCCAGTCAGCCCTCTGGCACCTGACCCGACCATCCCAGCAAGGCTACCGAGTCTCCGCCGCTTCTGTGGGCCTGTCGCGACTGTGCCGGCCGGGTCGGGACGGGTCGGGCCAGGCCGGAGCGCCGGAGCGCCGGCGGAAACCGGTCCCCGGTCCGCACACGCCCGGCCGGCCCGCCGCGTGCGCCGCCGGCGCTGTGCCATCATCGCCGCTCCCGAGCCCCGCCTTGCCGGCCGTCGCGCGCTCGTTATCTTTAGTGTTTGGGGCAGCCGTCTTGGCATGGGAGTTCTGCGAGCCGGTGGGCGGCCGACGGCACGGAGATGTTATCGTTCCGGTCCTGGCCGTATTTACGCTATTGCTGACCGAGTCCTGCGGTCGTGTCGGGGCTTAGTGAGGCGCGTAGCAACAGGCCGCCACAGCGTCGGCCGCGCCGGCCGATGTCGGCCAGACGCCGCTGGTGGGTGCGGAGCCTGTACGCCATGTGGGGATGCCCGCGCTGCTGCCGGTCGCCGCCGCCGGACGTGAGGCAGGCTGCAGGGCCTCGTATATGTGACACAGCTCAAAGGAATGGCCTGCGGATCCGCGTGTCGGCGTAGCCCTGAGGGCTGTGACCAATTGGTGGGCGCCAGGCTGGCAGGCGTCTCGAGGGCGCCTAGTGCGGCCCCAGGCAGTGGCTGTGTGTGTCTCCTGGACGCGCCGGTGCCTTTGGCCTGGCACCCGGCGCGTCCGCCCGCAGGCCGGCCGCCCTCCGCCCTCCGCCGTCGGCGGCCGGCGTGGTGCGACCGGAAGGCGTGATGCGGTAGCGACGGCCAGGGCATGTCCGGCCGGAGCCGGAGCGGAGCCCGCGCACCGGTCACGGACGGCCAGCTGGGGACGCTCCTCACCGGCCGCGGCCGCCCGTGTCGGCACTTGGCTGATGATCAATGCGGCCTGCGGTGAGCGCGATCGCCTTTCCGGCGGCCGGTGCTGCGGTTCTTGCGGTTTTGTCCGCGATCGGCGCGGGGTCGCGGCGGTCGCCTCGCTGATTGAGGCGTTCGTGTCGGCGACAGCTGCGGCGTCCGCCACGCTAACGGCCGGATAACAGGCGGCTTCCGGCGCCGTCCGCACCTGATGGCCGCCGGGCGACGGCAGAGTTCTGCGGTCGGTCTGATCGTGCAGAGCGGTTCGACGCCGGCCGATTTTGCGGTCGAGGGGCACCGCGGAGGCGCCCCGTGAGCGACGCGACCGATCGGGCCCGTGGTTGAGCCGGCTGGTCGCCGGGCGCGCGGCACGCTCCCCGTAGATTGCATTGGTAATTCGTGTGACGTAGCGCGCGTGACGTCACACGCTGTGACGTCATCATGCCAACGAGCGATTGGTCAGCAATGGACCGACAGGCCGGGAGGTCCGTCACCTTGATGGCTCGCTACGAATGCTATACACTCAGCTTAAGGAAGATTCATCGGATACGTGACAACGAAAAATTCCTACCAAATCCCTGCACGTCCCGGTGCGGGGCAGTCGCGCCGCCCACGTTGGAAACTTCGCACGTCGTATATTACATGTCCGGACATCCGGCGCCGTGGACATTAATCTATAACCGTGAAAATATGACTCCGCGGATCACGCGTGTGTGAGAGTGAACAGTGGTGTGCGCCGACTTGCTTAAGCGCATCCGGAACACTTGCAACCACTGATGAGCTCGATACGTCCTGCCGTGTTGGCATTTGTCGGATTTTGCACTCCGAAAGCAAACACCTGCTGGCTTATTCCGGAATCAAGATGAATCCAGCTCCGGGATCGGCCATGAAAAAGCAAATATCGAGCCGTTCGCCGGATCCGTATCCTTTCCTATCTGACCTTTTCGTCGGCTCTCTGCCGTGATGGCGTGACTGACACGTGTTTGTACCGTTTTCCAGTGGCATGTATGTGGTGTGGGTGACCAGTTTCGCCGAGCTCTTCAACCAGACGGGCCATCACTGGGCGCTGGTGCCGCAGCCGCCGTCCACGCCGAAGCCCGACCGCATCTGGCGGTGCTACAGCACGTCCGCCAAGATCCGATTCCGCTGTGTGAGTGTGCCTGTCGGCGCGAGGCCGCGGCTGGAGCCCGGCTCCGCGTGGGCCTGTGGCGCGGGCTGCAGGCCGCAGCGCGGCGCGGCCTTCGATGTGCAACGAAGACGCCGCGGCTTGTCTTGTATGCTGAGGCGGGATGCGTGCGTGAGAGGGCGTATTGACGGTGCTGCACTCAGACGGGATCCCAGAGTGTGCGACTGTGCGCGATCTGTAATGTTCTGGAAGCGTGTTGCCACCTTCGCGCCATGGTGCCCTTTTGTCGTATGGGAGCGGTCGCAGCGTGGGCTCGTCTGATGCCGCCGTTTGTCCGCAGGACCGGTGCGGCAACAAATGGACGTCAATGCATGGCCAGGTGTCCTTCCAGTACTTTTTGCGCAAAGGACCGGGCGCGGGCACCGTCTTCTTTCAGCTGTTTGGCCAGAAGTGCTGCGTGTGCGTGCGCCAGCGGCTGCGCGAGCGCGTCTCTGCCACTGCCACCACCGCCGCCGGCCAGAGCGCGGCTACCGAGCCACATCCAGCCGCCACCGCCGCCGCCCCCGCCGCCGAGCCAGCGGGAGCTGCCGCAGCCGCCGCCGCGGGCGGACGAGGACGACGGCGTGGGCTACGCCAACCCGATGTGGTACCCGGACGAGGTCCGACGGGTGAGTGGGCGCGACCGTTGCGGCTGTCCCTGCGTCGGCGGCAGGCTTCCTGCCGGCCGCCCCCGCGCGCCTCGTGCGATGGCCCTGCCGCCGCCAACCGCTCATCCCGGCCGCAGCCGGAACCGGCGGGGGCGGCGGCGGCAGCGGCGTCTCGCCGGCCGGTTCGTTGAACGGTGGCCGGTCGGCGCTGGTTTTCCCCACGTTGGAGCAGGTCAGCACACGGCGCCGGTGGAACGCTCGCGCGCCGGCCCAGTCCGTTTGGCGAGCAGGCTCCCAATCCGCACCATGCCTGGCCTCGGGCTCCGCCGAGCGCGAGCCGTCGAGCCGCTTTCCCCCTGGCAAACCCAGCGTGGGAAACCGGACCGTCCGGGTCGCGGCATCCGCCCCCGCGCCGGGTGCCGCTACCCATGCGGGGCGTACCTGGGCGGGGGGGGGGGGGGCGGCCAGCCACCCCCACGCTCGAGTCCGCCGGCCTCTCCGGAGGCGTGCCGTGACGCGGCACCACGCGCCGGGGTCAGCCCGCCAGCAGGATGTCCCGGTGCGGCGCTTCTCAGCACGGGACGGCGGGCGTGGCGCCGCCCCGCTCCTGCCTCCAGCTCGCTGCCGCCGCGGTGGGCGTTCGCGCGAGAGGAGACAGCGCCGGCGCGTGGTCGGAGAGCTCCGCTGGGTCGGGCGGTTGGCGACGCTGGCGGGGAACTGACCTAGGAAGGTGGCGCCGAGCCGCCGGAGGGCCGCTCCTCCGCAGCTGCCTGGGCCGAGGCGGGACGGTTCCGCTGGGGCTTTCCGCCCGGCTTTAGTGATTGAGTAGGGTCAGGGGAGCGCAGATTCCGCACTCAGCAATGCTGGCTTGATTTCATTCGAACTTATGTCGCATATTTGCAGATCGTTGGACATTTCGACGCTCAGCGAGCCGGGCGTTTTTCATATTTCTGGCGCAAGCGTGTTTGACTGGTCTGTGGATAGCACATATGTAGCGTGCTCTTGGATGCCTCCGCGTGGCAAGGAGACTGGCAGCAGGCGAGCCGCTTCCGATTAAGGCTCTGTGATCCGTCAGGCGCCGAGCCGACCCGTCTCACCGTCACCCCCTCCTCATCCAGGTGTTGCTGGAGCTGTACGTCCAGGTCACCAGCAAGCTGTACCCGGATCTGCCGCGCGTGGTGCCGCCGTCCGGCCAGCAGCGCCGCTTCGGTCAGCCGCAACAGCAGCACGATCCCAGCCTGTGCCAGGGCTGCGCGGCCGGCACCTGCCGCATGAAGCGGCGCGGCCGGGTAGACCGCGGGCAGCGCGCACCGGATGGGAAAGAGGTTGCCGTGGATTGCGTGGGAGCCGGCGGCGCTGTCTGTGGGAGATGAACGGTGGGTTGTTGGGCGTGCTTTCCAGCGGACGCAGAAGGGGCTACGTTGTGTCGGCGGACCAGTGGTGGGGTCTGGTAACGGGCGGAACGTTCATCCCCGAGGTGTTTTTAAGATGCGCATTTAAACATGTTTTGTTAGGCTAGTTTCAGTCGAACCGGCGACTTCCTTTGAGTTTTGCTTCCTCGCTGCGCACGACAGCGTCTCATAGTCATCATTTTATACGTGTGTGTGCGATGTGCATATGCACCAACATGTTCGTGTGCCATCATTTGTATACACATCGTTGTGTAGGCACTGTTTTAGCGGAACAGATCCACGGAAGATGCGGGTGCTGTTGCGCCCTCCGGAGCGCTCATTGTTCAGAGGGTAGTGCGAAAGTGACACGTTCAACGAGGTTCCAAGGACTAGCTGTCCCGGCTGGGGTCGCGAGGCCGCGGCCGCGGTGGTCGACGAGCTGAGATATGTGCACTGGGTGGCCCGGCCGCATCAGCAGCTGCTCGTGGCCGCGCCGACACGAAGTGACGTCCAACGCACGTGGTCCCTGCTCGCTTCCGACACCAAGCATCACAACTCGCGGTCCAGGGGGCCCGGAAGACTGTAAATTAGCAAACACTTTCCCTAACACGACGAAATTGAAGGCGATCAACGCGATCGACGACCTAAAATCGCGATCAACGACAACGAATTTGCGTTAATGTGTCACTACCCGCTTCGACCCGACTCTGTAAACGTCTTACGGAAACAAAACTTTACGCACTGCACTTATCCAGCGCGAGAAGGACGTCATTGTCTTGCAAATGAATGAACAAAGTATCCCACTGAACAGGCCGAATACGACGCACATTTGTTGAGCGCGTAGGGCGCTCGTCATAAAGTAACCTCCTTTAGCTACCTGCCCCCTCCCCTGATCGCAGGTGATGCATCATATCCTTCGAACACATTATATGCGATACGAGGCGCCGGGAAGCCAATGATATTGTCAGTGCTGTAGTGGGACGCATCACTCCACGACAAAAACAAGACAAACCTGTTGCGGTGCCCGTGCGGTTTCCCAAAAAAGTGCTTTCACCAGCGCGTGAACCCTTGGAATGCAACACAACATGCATCAGTTGTTACTAAAATAACGCCTCCACCAACTCTTGAGCACCAGGAATCAACACTTCACTTGAGCACCAGGAATCAACAGCAAACGCTTCACGAACAAACGACACCCGCGACCGCCTCGCGGTCCTATCCACTGACCGGCGGGGCCAGGTAGAGCGGGAAACACTGGGCTCGGTCGACGGCCCAACTGCACCCCGAGCTCCCGCGTGGCACCGCCGGCCGGCCCGTTTGTGCTGCACTCACGGACGGGTTGGCTCCGTTCGGCGCATGGCCTGCGGTGGCGCCGACCCGCAACCGACGCCAGGGCTGCCACGCTGAACGCCAGCCCCGACGCCGCGCTGCGGTGTTGGTGTTGGAGGCGGCGGGCCGGCGGGATGAGTCCCACCGCCAGCCGACGTCACATGGTGGCCTTCCGACACCACCAGGTCGACATGTCAGGCGTCATCACAAACCTAACCGGCGCTGACGTCACACGGTGGCCTTCCGACACCTCCAGGCCGACATGTCGAGCGCCTGCAGGGCGAGCAGGCGGCGACGGCCCCAGAGCAGCCAGAGGAAGCCGAGACAGACGCAGGCGGCGCTCTCCACATAGCCGTCCATACTAACGAGGCACGAGCCGCCCTCTCCGCAGTCCTGCCGGGCAGACGGCGGGTGTCGCTGAGGCGCCGGCGACGGGGGCGGGGGCGGGCTGGCCGCGGCGACGAGCCCGGGTCGAGCGGGCCATGGACAGGTTGGCCTGACACGACTTGGAGTGGGGTGAGCTGCTAGTGGCAGGGGCGGGGGGAGGGGGGTGGGGGTTCCGATTTGGCAAGTTTGCGAACAGCGTGTTGACCCTGCAGAGGCTATGGCAGGTTACGAGGGCCGACGGTATGTCAACAATGGACAGCAGTCTTTACGACACTCATTCTGAACAGTGCCAAACCGTTCATCCTCGGCCTCCGAGGGATTCATCTCACCAGTTACACAAACTAGGGGACCAAGTGTAAAAGTTTGGACCCTGACGGCCATCAATGTCTGTAAACTACGTCGCAAACACATGACATCTGCAGACATCCACACCATGACTGTAGTGCGAATGACTTGCACCGCCCGTCCTGGGTTTGAAACGGCCATGAGCGCGCGGCTATGTCTTGGAAAAGCTCTCACCGCAGTGGCGCGTCACTTATCCGTCGCTGGCTCGCATGCCATGTCGACCATACAGCGGTGCGGTACGACAGCCGTACAGAGAACGGGTGGACATTTCCAGCGCGCCTCCTTGTGTTACCGAGAGCCGGCGGGGCAGGTGCGGGTCGGTGGCCATACCACGCGTGTGGCCGTTGCATCCAACGAGAGATTAGCTAGATGTGCCGGACAATCCGCAAACCAAAGCATTCCACGCGTTTCCGTGCCCGGGTTTGAACGGATGCGTAGACGAGGACGCGGTCACATAAGCAAGAGCACAGGCATGATCGGTCACAAGAATTAACTCGGCATACATGCTTTCACAATTTGATACTTTTCCACTTCAACAGCAGCATGGGGACGCCACGTATCCATGGCGGAAAGCCCACAACAGACAGCAGTCACCGTCCGCCAACACGCAGCCACGGTGGCCGCGCGTCGCAAGCACGTCCGTAACGCCGCATTGCGTCAGCCGGGTCGCTTTTCCCCACACGGCCCGTCTGCCGGGAGCGGGACGGAGTGGGCTGGAGCGGGTCTCACCTGGTCACTACCGCAAGGGCCACCCCCACCGCCGCCGCCGGCGCAGGCCCTCCAGGTCAGCCGGTCCACCATCCAGAGCATGAGCGTGGCCGGCCAGTTGCGGCACCTTTCGGGGTCCGAGAGGAGCGGTCAGCCAGCTTAAGGCGCACGCGTCACAAAGGTGCGGCGCACCTGCCACAGACGGGATGGACGGGTCCAACGGGCGACAGCCGGGGAGGGGTACCGATGTGGGCCGGGGACGGACGGCGGTGACGGTGTGGCGCCGTGGGAAGTTGATTGATTACGTGGATCCCGGAAACATGATCACACCCTAACGCAAATCTGATAAGGCAAATATGATGAGGCTCGGTAATAGCGTTGGAAATAAAAAAAAACAATAAAAAAACTGGTAGCAGAGTGCAAATTTTCTAAAGTGGAGTACAAAAATATCCGATTGCCGTGGGTCATTACAATTTTATTTATACTATTTTTTAGAAATAGCACTACAATGGGTGGTGCTCACCAAAAGCACCACTTTTCATATACAGCAATTCATGTAAAAGCCCGTTGCGAAATAACGTTGATTTTAATTCCTGTCGGAGGAATGATCTGGGTGGCGCGTAAAAGTATTGGACGAATGGTTTGGGACTCCAGGCGCATGTATGTCTGCCAGCGTTTTAAACGTCCCGTTACAATTGTGGGAGTGACTAAACACGTTAAATGGTTTGCGCCTTCGGCACAGAATGAGCGTTATGTGTAGACTCTTCGCCGACCGTCTCCCAGCGAGCGCGAAAATCGGTCTGGCTGGTCATAGGCTCGGTAATAGTGTTGGAAATAAAAAAAACAATAAAAACCTGGTAGCAGAGAGCAAATTTTCTAAAGTGTTTGAGAAATAGCACTACAATGGGTGGTGCTCACCAAAAGCACCACTTTTCATATACAGCAATTCATGTAAAAGCACTTAAGATGAAAGGAAACATCAGTGCTAAACATGGCACACTGAAACAACATTGTCTCATGCTCTGTATTAGGAAACACAGGTGCACACACACACACACATACACACACACACACACATATATATATATATATATATATATATATATATATATATAATATATATGGGTTTGCAATTTATGACAGGCTGTGTGTGGTAACCGCCCTCTAAAACGGTGGGTGGTTACACACCGGGCTTCAACACCCTTCAACATGGAGGGTGACTACGATACGCACAGCCAGAGAGAAATGGTACACAAAAAATGCGACTGAACGTGCCCCAGACGGCCATCTACTTACACTCAACCACGATCACGCTACTCACGCTCCACCAAGGTCACGCTACTCACGCTCCACCAGCTAACTGGTTTTAAAAGCGGCTAAACATTCATGTCCTCCACCTTCCTAACACATGAGGCCAGCACGTCACAGCCGAATAATAGAAACAGGCAGCAAGCACTCTTAACCGATTTACCGAGCCAGGGCTAGCGCAACGCCTGACAGACCCGTCCAGGTCGGCCAAAAGGGATCGGAGTCAGTCCACTCCGCTGACCCGGCGAATAAAACAATGTATTCATGGATTTTGATGTGCTGCAACCCATATCACTGCGAATTATGATAATCTATGTTGCAATTCATTGATGGTTCTGTCCTAATAAACCCTTCTTAATTTGCCCGGCCAAAGATATGGATGCATGTTATTCTGGTGTCCTGGTGTTTTTGCCGGAGTGAGATGGCTGTCTCCGAACGTTTTTTTGACCATTTACAGCAACGGTTTTCGACTTAAAAGTATATTTTTTAAAGCCTGAAATACCGGCGTTTAATTCACACCCTGAAAGTGACAAATTTAACTTGACTTAAATCCCCAGCTGCCATTAGATTTTGTGTACTCCGAATACCAGGAAGTGGCCAAAAATCCAACCACAGGACGGTTCTGCATGAATTCTAATAAGCCCTTCGTGATGACCGTGATGCCCATCTCTATACAGCTTCCTCCAACTGTTAACAAATCTGTTGAAGGGCATGAGCGCGAGCAGAATATTTATGCTCCTCACAACATCAAAATTGACGACAGGCACGAGGAGGCGATGAGGCGAATTTCAGTCACGTCACGAGGAGGTCACGGGGAGGCGAATCATTAAAACCAATTGGAGAGTTTTGCCATGTTCAACCTCCAAGCTGAGGTGGGAGGCGGGCGCAAACCGCTGAATAGTTGATACGTTTCCGACGCCGAAGTGCGAATGGTTCTCTTATTTGCATTGCCACGACTCAGTGGTGGCGCGTGAGTAAGCGGCCGTTTGTGGTAGGTGCTTCGTTGTGTGGTTTTCTATGACTGTTCGTTGCATCCTTGGCAATTAATGCGGTTCGTCGTCAATGGAAGGTTAAGTTTGTTCGAGTTTTTCGCATTTCCATACATTATTTATCGTATACGTAGGTGGCAACACGGGCTGCTTGCTATTGGGCATCTTAGTCTGGTAGGTGCAAGATTTGTGCTCTGGCAGATATCAATGCATTGCTCATGATTGCTCTAACTAAAAAATCTAACATTGCTCTAACTAAATCGGAAAGTACATCTGTGAGTCGAAGGAAAGCCGTTTACGTTGTAGTGTGTCAGTTGGTAACGTGTTATTCTGTCATATTCTTGAAGCATGTACCCTGTTAACATAGGTAGCCGAGGGTAATTCGAATTAAGATCGGAACGGATCATGCGACGTTAGACCTGTCGCCGGGGTGCGTTTACATGGGCGAGACCGGATTTACGTCTAATTAACGGTCGATATTTCGATCTCGCTTAGTTCGTATCACGGATGTTTGGTGAATGTGTTTGGCGAATGGGCGAAAACTGTGCTTTTGAGGCAAACTGAATAAAAAAGCCGGTACTCTGCGTATGGATGGCGAATGACAAGAGCCATGGCGGGCGGGAGACGGCGTTGAGGGTGATGGGGAAGATGGACTCTTCTGGAAAAACGGTCTGTGCGGGTCTCAGGCTTTATAGCTACAGCACAAGCCATATCACTTAAAACACAAGAGTTGCGTGTTCAGCACTGCTAAATCTGTCCCGTAGTTAGTGTTATATGAAAATGTTACTAGGGGACATGAGACATGTTAACATTTTGCATTGCAAGGAGCACGATCACCGAAATTTGCACAAAACAGGGAAACTGATAAACACATATTCCAGTGTATATTTCTGCTACAGACGGTTTCTTTGATCACAGGTATTCAATCAAGAATGACAAGAAAGTGAACTGGTAAATGAAACTATAAGCTGCTTCATGGCAATGACAGAGATGATGTTCGATTAACATATGTTAGGCCATCCATTCATGACAGTAGCTGCGAAAAGTGCTAGTAAGGCTACTGCTTCCCATTCTGCAATGTGCACCACGGCTTGCTGTTCTGTCGAACATTATTCAGGATGACATTTAAGATACACCTGGAGCCTGTGACACCGAAATATTTGCTGCCATGCTATGGCTAGCAGGAAATCAGCATTGTCTTGTATTGGCCAGTTGCACTCACAAACTAGCCACAGTCTGATCAGGTGGGCCACCCAGCATCATGTCATCTACTTTGTGCAGCCCAAGAAACATATTGCCTACTCCCACACTAATCCATTTATGAGCAGCTTGCAACAGTGAGCTAAGCTACGGAAATAACTCATGAATGCTACACAGTTAGTGGCAGAGCAGGGCATACCTGGGGGCAGCATTGCCATTCAAACTTGGCATGGACTGGCAAGTCAGAATGCAGCTACTTATAGTTATCGGCGCAAAATGACCACCACAGTCGACGCAACCTAAAATCAATGAACAACAATGCAGCTATTTGCCTTTTTGACATACCAGGGTTGAAATGGTGCTTTGATATCCTTGCAGTCAACAGCATTGGGCTGACATGGACTGATGGTAGGTCACACAAACAGCTGTGTTTGCACAGTCCAAATATAATAATATGTGAACCAGCCCGAGAGCTGTGGCATGACGAAAGCAATCTTAGCTCAAAACCCATAACAAAGTATTCATTATGACAACAGTTGAAGGTGTCCGCTCCTCAACGACTCAAAGAAATAAATGCGTGCAAAGTTCTTGCCATTTGTTTCTTTCTGTTTCTTTGAGAAATTGAGACGGGGGGGATACCGATGTTATGGAGCTTGAGCGTGCCAGTGGAGGCTTGGGAGTGGCGTGGCGGTACCACCGGCACGCACGCTCGTCAACGAGCCGGCCGGGCCCCGGGGCGTCGCTAGCGCCGCTCTGACAGGCGGCCGTGATTCACGACGGGCGGCCGCTGATACGGCACAACGGCGCGCTCCGGTGTCACCGGCGAACGAGAGGCCGGTCGCGGCTCGTGTGGCCTCCGGCGCCCCTCTGCCATCGCCCACCGTCAGCCTGCCCTCTCCCCGGGGCCGCCAGCAGCGACGCGACGGAGCGTAGCGTGACGGCCGGTGCCGGAGCTCCAGGCCGCCCTCGGGCCGGACACTGGTCCCAGTGGTTGATGCTAGCGTTTGTCTCCGGTTCTACGCACGGGTTGCCGCTCACTCTGCGTGTGGTGTCTGTCAGCGGCCGGCGTAGTTTCGCTCCCCTCGCCCTGCGATCGAGGGGACCGCTTTGGTCGGTCCAGATAGTCCAGTAGGCACTCGCGCATGGACGGTGCTCTTGCGCTAATGCAGTCTGCGCTTGCATAGTACGAAGCCAGTTAATCGGCTCACACGCTTGCTCCTGGGTTGTCGCGGGCGGGGAGTCAAGCGCTTCAGGTCAGGTCATCAAACACGAGTTGGGGAAGATGCGGGTGGGATCCCTTGCCGTTCCGTTGGACGCGGTGAAAATGGCGAGGCGCCTCCCCGTGGTGCCCACCGTTTCTGCCAGTGTGAGAGGCGGGCGACGCCATATAGCCCCAGCAGCTGTGTGCGTCGTGAAACTTCAATGACACAAATCGCAAGGGCAGAGATCTAGCTACCGATTCAGTTGTATGGATGGGGTGAGGGGAGGGGGGGGGGGGAGAAGGTCCAGTCCCCGAGTTTAAGAGGAAAGTTACGTCAAATGTGGGCTTAAACACGTTTGTCGCATGTCTTGAAGGTAGTTGTTGCCATTTTTCGTTTCTCAGCCCCACCTCAACCTATTTGGCATAACTAGACGC